GGGGGGGGGAGTTCAGTCAGGGTCGGGAAGGCAAAGGTTGAGGGAGGATTATAGTGGGGGAGATCTGAAATCCGTGGGGTCGGGAAGAAGTATAGTCGGGATCGGGAAAGGGACGATTCAAGGGGTGCGGCGGGATCGGGGAGCGGAAGGTTGAAGAGGGGGAGATCTGTAGTCAGTGTGGTCGGGGAGTATATATATGTATATATATATTGTCACAAACGGAACTGCCTGGTAAACCGTAGGCAGAGAGAGAGAAGAGGACAACAAACGAGGGGCTGTGACAAACTGTTTCGTCGGAGTTTCACCGACTCATCAGGAGGTATCGTCATATATATATGTGTGTGTGGAGATCGAAGCACGGCAGGATCACGGAGGGGAGGGTTGATGGGAAACACAGTCGGGATCGGGGACAGTCGGGATCGAGGATGACGTGTCAGGGGAGAAACACAGTCAGGGTGGGGGGCAGGGAAAAGGAAGCGGGATCGGAGGTGATGTGGCCAGTCGCGGGGTCGTAGACGTCTTGGTTCTGATGTCGAGTCGGCCTTGCTTCCCATGCAAGCCTAGTAGTTTCGCTGTAGTTTCGGGTCACCGCCCCTGAGCATGCAGTTGTAGTTTATAGGCCCAGATTCACCCTCCCTCGTTTCTCCCTCGATTCTCCGTGTTCTCTTGTCCTGCCCCCCTTTGTCTTTCACCCAATTTCACCCTCCCCCGATTATCCGTATTCACTCACCAGCATAGCCAGCCCCCCAGACCTTCCTTTCCTATCTGTTTCCTGTATGTAGACTGGCTCTGTCTCAATAATCACACAATAACTAGCTATAATGGTTGAATAAAGAAAAACGAAAGGGGCGACTGTATGGCGTGCCCCTCACCATCTCAGATGAGCACGGGGTTCCCTTGGTCAGGGTCACTCACCTGAAGACAACACGCCACTATCGCTCCTTGAAGAGGGCGTGGTCGCCGGCAATCGGCCTTCTCCACCGGAGCAGAGTTGTGCTCCAGGGCCCCAAGAGAAGGCCAAAAGCTCTGGCCCACTCGTCCTCCTTGTCGTCAGCCGCAATCTTCAGTTGGCTCCGAAATGTCCTCTATGCACTCTACCGCATCCGTCTTTAGTCGATTTCAATCCACTTCTGCATCCTTCACATAGATGTTTGCGTCGTCCCCCGTCAGTCGTGGCTCTATGACCAGCCTTGCACAGTCCGATCCACGTCGGAAATCAGGTTGGTCGCCACCTGAAAAAAGCATTCGGCACTACCGCACCAAAAGCAACCTCCCATACTTCGCCTTTGTCAGCTCCATCCTTCTCCTCCCCGTCCTCCGGCTAGGGCTGGTGCTGCCATCACAACCACCACCCGCCGCTACGCTCCCCCGGATATGGCTGACGCTGCTATCACAGCCACCGCCACCGTTACGTTCCCTGCTCCGCCGGCGGTTGCTTCGCGCCACAACGACGCAGGCCTGCTGCGCTCTCGGCGCTGGCACGGCGCAAACTGACACTAACGGCACCTCGACCGAGGCCTACATGCCATTTTTGGGGTCACTATGCAACTGAGAACATTCAGGCAGTTGCACAGCGCAAGTTGGTTGGAACTTGGAAGTGCACAGGCCCAGGCTGCCTTTCCTCGTATGTAACTGAGGCAAGCCCTGGGCTGGATACACAATATGAACCGAACAAAGGCTAGGGCGGTTGGGCGCTAGTAACCCCCACAGGCCCTGGGCCTGTTTCTCTGGACTGAGGTCCAGCCTCGTGGGGCCTGCCGGAAGCTTCTGGGTTGGGGCCCTGTACCGCATTACGACACGCAACAACAGGCCACTTCGATATAGGGAAGGGCCTGCCCACGCATTGCTCATTTGGGCACTGGCTGCATGCTGCGCAAGCGCTGCTGCGCTAACGCTGGCCAGTGCTCACGGGCGAGCAGGAAGGAGCAGGCAGCCATAGCCGAGCTGCGCGGCTGTATGCTGGATGGGGCGCATGGTGGTTCTTGGGTGCAAGTGGCATCTGTGAGTTGGGGATCGAGGTTGTGAGTGATACGAGAGACATACCTGGTGCTTGAGGCGAACGGCATTGGCCGAGATTTGCTGGTACTTCAGGGAGCTGTTGACGTCATCAGTGGCATTGTAGATAGGCTAGATAGGATCTGTCATCTGTAGTCTGGGCACCGAGCGCCAGATAGGATATCGACATTGGTTCTTCGTTGATGATGATGAGACTATTCTAGCATTGTCAATTATGAGCTTTTGCTGTGCTCTTATTGGTGAAGCTCGTGATGCAATTCTGCTATTGGTTCGAGGTCACGACTATCTGGTCTCATGTGTATGATGCTGTTTGATTTCTGAAGTTCGCTATTGCTCATTTTCCTTGCAATTTGGTATCGGAGTTGTGGTTACGGTGCACTCATCTGGCGCTTGTCTTCCGCCTATGCGGTACATGTATGCGGTCTGCTAAGTGAGCGGCCGTAGGGAGTGTGTAGTGAGGAGGGCGAAGGCAAGCAGGCGACCCAGGTGGAGAGGAGATCGCCAAGAAGGCTATGGGGGGATTATTTGGTGTCCGCAGTGTGATGAGAACTATAACAGCGATTTCGTCAAACGAAATTGAAATTGTCATTTTTTAGCTGATTTAGGTGCAAAAACCATTACAAAGAGATGTTTGGTGTAAGGTGTAAGGTGTAAGGTGTAAGGTGTAAGATGTAAGGGGTGAGGGTTAAGGGGTAAGGTGTACAGGGTAAGGTGTATGGGGTAAGGTGTAAGGGGCAAGGTGTGAGGTGAACGGGGTGAGGTGTAAGGGATTTGTGGTAAATTGCAAGGGTCAAGTGGCACAGCGTATCGAGTAATATTTGACACCTTATATACATTGTTTTTGTCACAAACCATCTTGTGGCATCTTCCTCATATACACACTACTCACGAGCCACTGTGTCCAAAGCCATTTGACGACGTATCGCGGGTATATCATCAGCGGTGAAAAAAAAAGGTGGATGCGTATGTGAGCACAAAGACCCCGCACTCGTTCGTGTCGTGTTGCTGCGGAATGCCCTCTACATTCCATATGTGATTGAATGATATCGTGTCCACCTCTTTGCCTTGCGATTTCGATCTTTCGAATATAAACTTTGCAAACCCGCCGGTCACCTTTCTCGCCAACTTCGTGTCGGGGTCGAGGGAGTCGTAAAATTCGAATTTCCTCCTCCTGAAGTCAGCCACAACAAGGGTCCAGTGGTTCTTGTGTTCGATATGGAAAGGAGCAATAATCAAGTCCATGTCACTTATGATAACGTCCTGACACCAGCGTTCTACCTCTCGACCTCTATATCTCATTTCATTGTCGAAAAGTTTGACGAACAAAAATGAGCTCA